ACGGGATGTATAGTGTGGGAGTGAAGTCAAGGGAATTGTAATAGATATGGTTTGATATTGGGGGTGAAGTGGGGTGGCGGATGGGGGGGGTTGTCACTTCGAGGGGTAAAAAGTGTATTACACTGTGTTGTACAGCTGAAACTAATTCTAAAAAATGTGTATTTCACAATAAGAAATAATAATTAAAAAAAACATTTAAAATACATTTGTAAAAATCATAGGCAAATCTCCCCCGCCTCCCAAAAAATAAAAATAAAAGTAAAATAGCACTAGAGCTTTGAATTTTATATTGTTGAATGTATCTTACTCTTTCTGGTTTCTTAAAGTCAGGTAGTAGCATAACTATCATGTTCTTTTTGCCCTTCCCACATCCAAATAAGTCATCTGGAGACCATGGTATGGCTTCTGTGTTCAGAGTCCAAATCCTTAGGGGAATTTGGAGGGGCTGAGGAAGAGCGAAAGGTTTCCTCCCAGGCTAGGAACAAGCCTTTTTACCAGGCGAGGTGAGGGCAGTGCTGATGAGAACAGAGAGGGCTGTGGGAGGGGAATGGTGGAGAATCTGTATAGCACACAGCCGAGCACACTCTGGAGCTAAAGCCTCTTCACTCTGAGGTGGTGGCCCTGACCCAGGGAGGGAGTGGAGTCATGTACAGGGATGAGCAGGAGTCTGATGGCTGCTACCTTGTTAAAAGATTAAATTATCTGATTCCTAGGAAGAGACTTAGAAAGGAGGGCTTGAAGGGTAATTTAAGGCCACTCTGTTTCTGACTTTCTACAAGGACTGATCTTCCTGATAAAGGGAAGGTTTCAGATTCTAGACTCACAGAGCCTTCTAATGAACCCCTGACACCCGGCTCTCTCCTGGATCAATCTACCTCCAGGAAAGTCTGTGCCCTGAGCTTGGTTCATGTGTACCATGCCCAGAAAGAGTCAGTATGGACTAGAGAATGGGTGTTTCCCTAGGCACCGGGTGCAGATGGCAGGAGTCTCAGGCCCAGGCCCAGGCCCAGGGGCGTGGGCAACAAAAAGGTCAGTAGCTGCAGCCACCAGAGAGGAGGGTTTCACCCCAGAAGCTTCATCTGTTTCTTTTTAGGAGATATAATTGTCTTGTTCAGGCAAAAGGAATGATATACTTACCTACTGTTTAAGCAAGTAAGATATGACTCAAATCAAGTATGATGTGACTGAAAGACTGAATTTTACATTTTATTTATTCATTTACATTTTGTTAAATAGCCAAATGTGGCTAGTGGTTACTGTACTGGAGAGCGCAGGCTTAGTGTGTGTAAGTGCTCATGTGCTGTCGGTATTAGTACGATTACAATGCACCTTGTACTCGCCTTGCTTCTCCTCTCCTCTCTGGAGGAGAGGGTCACAGGCTGGGAGGCTGCCAGCAGAGAAAAAATATCCCCTGGGCCACATCAGCAGAGAACCCACCTATCAGGTGGGAGCCCTAGAGGTCTGATTCTATTAGCTGGAGTGACTCTCTCACCTGGGAAGTTTATATCTCCTTGGTTCCGTGCCAGCCACCTTACCCTCACAGAAGGCCAGAGAAAACACAGGCTACCACTGTGCTTGGTGCCCAATGGATGTCTCTCTAAGTGTCAACATCCAGCAAGACCTGGAGCACTGGGCTCCTGGGAAGGCCAGCAGCTGTTGGGACACAGCAGGCCATTTCAGCTGCCACTGTCACCCTCATAGAGCACACCTGGTTTCACTTTCTCTCTCTCTTATTTTTTTCCTGTAAATAAATATTGGGTTGTCGGAAAAGTCATGATGCATTTTTGCAACGAAAAACAGAAAAAATACGTCATGACTTTTCAGACAGCTCTAACCATATGTAAGGCGCTAACGAATAGATTCTCAGACTGTATAACCAAGAAAGAGTCACACACACAAATCCACAATTGCAAGATAAGTGCTAACATAGATATTCACATAGTGATACA